GGAATTTAAATAAACTGGAATGTAAATCTCATTACTAATGTAGGGGGAGGGAATGGCCACTCCCTCAAATTTCGATTCTACCTAACCAAATTGTTGGAAATAGCAGAAATTCTTGAAATTTATAGAATTGTCTAGAATTATTAGAAATTATAGAAAATTTACAAAAAGTATTGAAATGTATAGAAATTTACCAAGAAATACCAGAAATAATAGAAGATTATTGAATCCTCAATAAAATAGTAATCCTCATAAATTATAGAAAATTAAAGAAGTTGCAATAAAACAGTAATTCTCATAACTACAGAAAATTACCATAATTTATAATTAATTATGAAAAAATACCAGAAATTATCATTAATTATTGAAAACTACAAAGAATTAATAGAAATTATAGAAAATTATCAAGAATTGCAAAAAAAAATTATAGAATTTTCAACGAAATAGTAATTAAGTTCCATAAATTATAAAAAATTAGTATAATTTATCGTTAATTACTGAAAATATCATAAAGTATATGCAATTATTAAAAATTCCAATTCATTATTAGTATTTAGTCATTTACTGTTAATATGAAATTCTCATAAATTATTGAAAATTACCAGAAATTAACCAAAATTTCCAGAAATTCTCAAGAGTTATTAGTAATTATTGGACACTCTTTTAAATTATCATTGATTTACTATTAACAATTGTTAAAAATGCTGTAGTTATTGATGACCTTTAGCTAACTAAAAATTATAGATAATTACCAGAATCCCATGAATTGCCATAAATTTTAGAAAGCTATAGAATCTTCAATAAAGCAATGATTCTCATAAATTGTAGACAATTAATATAAATTATAAAAAAATTATTGAAAATTACTAAAATTATCAGTAATTACTAGAAATTAACCATTTCTCTCTTGCATCTTCATTTTTCCTTCAACAAATGATCTAAGATTTATATTTCCATTCAATCCCTTTGTCTTCATATTGGATATCAGACTTTCCCGTGCATTGCACAGGGCTCCACTAGTTTATGTGTGTGTGTGTATCAGGGTCGGGGCAGGGCAGGGACTTCATTCCCCATCCCTGACCTCAACCTTTGTCGGGGCAGAGTGGGGACTTCATTCCCCATCCTGAACCTCGACCTCGGTTAGGGTCCCTATTAATCCCCATCCCCGTCCTGCCCTACCAAATCAATCTCCATCTCCGATCCATCGGGTCAAGGTGGTCGAGTACCCGGTGGGGATGAAGAAAATCGCCTTCCCTAGTTTTGAAGAAGCTTCAAGAAAAGTTGGGGTTGTTAATGGACTCTAAAAATCCCAATTATCTTGGATTGGATTTGGATGATAAAACTTGCATTCGATTAATAATCACATTGGATGTGGATTTAGCCCCATAAAATCCAATTAAAATCCTATTCTAATTAATACTTAGTATTTTATGTATATATATAATATAATTATGTATGCATATAAATATTATATAAAGTTTATAGTAGATAAATTTAATCTTTTATATTTATATGCATCTATATCTATATATTTAAATGGAATGTGCCAAACCGGCACTTTCCAGCTTTATGGCTATTTTTGAGGGGCAATTATCTTTTTTTTTTGTTGTTTTTTGGAAGCACTTATCTGTTTTATTTTTGTTTTTTAATTTTTTTATCATTTTATAATTGAAAAAATAACTAAAGTGGCCAATAAGCTTTTAGACATTTATCTCCTCTCATTAATTCTTTCTCCTCTTTTTCATTATGTCCATTGATTATGCCATTAACTCTTTCCTTCAATAACTCATGCCATTAATTCTCTCTCCTCTTTATTACTCCATTAAATTGACTAAAATTCACTAACTTTATCTATATCTATAGCCATTTCAATTTAACTATAATTTTATATACATTAGATATATTTATATTAAATTATAATTATCAACACAAATAATTATATTGAAATGGAGATATTCAATGACATATTATTGAGATAAATAATCTACTTCAATTTAAAAGATAATTAATTTTTAAGTTAAGCTAATTAATTAATTAATTTATATTTTAGAATAAATATTATATACTTCACTCAACAAATAATATCAGTGTTTTAAAATTTGACATGGAAGCTAAATATATAGTTTTTTGCCTCTAGGTCACGGGTCAATAGTTCAATTGTCCATGCAAGACAAATCAAACCATAAGACATCACCCATCTATATATGTATAATATGATACAATATAATTACATTTTGTGCATGTATATATTATTTTAAGTTCAATTTGTACTTTTTATTTTAGTTTTTAATTTTATATAAATAAAAGAGCCAGAATTTAAAATTTGAGACCACAAAATGAGTTTTTCTTTCTTTTTTTGTATAGTGGGGTTGCAAAGATCATGAAAAGTTATCCAAAATAAAAAAAAAGATTCCCCCAATCAAGTAATTGATCAAAAAGTTAAGTCCTCCAGAAGTTTTCAATATATTATACATTGTAACCCATGAACTAATGACTAGATCAAAAGGATCAATGGTTCAACCACCCAGGTTGAATGGGTTTTGACCAAATCAATGGTTTTGGACAAAGCAGTAGGTTTTAGGAAACCCAAAATTAGAAATAGGGCCGAGTGATGGTTCAAATGATTCAACCATCTAAGTCAACAATGAATTAAAAAACATTGAATAAAACATCATAAAATTTATAATGCATTTATATTCCATTTGAAATAATAAGAATTAATATTAATAAAAATAATTTATTATTGATAAAAGCATTTTCATTATATAAGATAAAAATAATTATTAATTATTATTATTAATAAAACATTTTTATTAAAATTATAAAAAACAAATAAACTAATAAAACGTAATAAGATAAATTAAAAACCAATATCCATTTAAAATTAATATAAAATTAATACATAATTATCTAACAGTTATTAGTTTTATAATTAATTTTTACCAACAAACATAAATTCCATTGAAAAGTAAAAATTTATTATAATTAATTAAATCTAGTAAGGATTAATAAAAAGAAAAAATTAATAAAGATTATTAACCTTACATATAGTTTAATTAATTTAAACCCAACTTAAATTCTATTTAAAATTAGGAACAATTATAAAAACCTCCGTGGGTTTTCTAACAATCCTTTGAACCTCCCCTATATAAGTTTTGACCTCAATAAAAACCTCCCATATTGTTTTGAAAAAAGGTGCAAATACTTTCCTTCCATTAACATTCGAAATAAAAAATGTTGATGTAATGCATTAATTTTCTTTAAATACAAAATTTACCCTTAACCAAATTTATTCAAAAATAATTAGGCTTAGTTTGGAAGGAGTACAAATACAAATATGTAGAGTGCAAAACCTTGTATTTTGTATTATTTTATATGTATTTGCATTGTACATATTTACATTTGTACTCCTTCCAAACTGAGCATTACAAACAAAAATACTAAAGTATTCCTAAAAATAATACAAAAATTTAGCAATGGAATTGTGATTGAAATTTAGGATTAAGATGCAAAAAGTAATACAAATTTATTTAGAAAATAAGAAATTAACCACTCTCACTAAAATGCAACTTGAATTGTGATTGAATAAACTAGACATAACCCAAAAATGCTTGAATTGGACTCAGATGAGCATCATTTTAATTGAAAATGTCATAAAGTTCATTCTTTAAATTTGTCTTAGTAAAACCCATGCATTGCACGGTCCCAACTACTTTATTATATATTTGAACAACTAACCAGATTTTGAATTGGATTCAGATCCATTGGTTTAATAATTGGATTAGATGTCAATGTAAAACTCTGCTAGTGTGAGCTTGTGTTACAAAGCTCAAATAAAAGAGGAGGGTGCTTCAGGTTGGCAACCAACACTAGAACTTTTACTAAACTCTTATGGAAAGTTACCTAACCCAAGACATGGCTGATGATGATGATGTGGATGTAGCTGAAAATTTTGTGTGTTTGTATATATGGGAATAGCGGGAGAATTTAAACAATCCACAAAATTTTATGAGGCCATAAATTTCCCTAGATATAAGCAGCTACTAGGTCAAAGTCCTTCCCGGGGCACATTTGGATGGCTGAGCTCAAGATTCAGCTGGTTCAACTGTTTTGAAGTGCTTTGAATAAGCTATTCATAGAGGCTGAAGTGGACAACCCTTCAAAAAGTACAAATGATTGACTATAGGGGTGCAAATGGGTCTGATCCGATCCTATTTGGTCGAAATCGGATCACTCCTATTTGGATCTTTGGATCGAATTGGACAATATGATCCAATAAAAAATATTCAGATCGGATTCAAATCACCCCTATGTGATCTGAGAAGATCCGATCCGATTTATATTATATATTTATAACTATAAATATATATAATACATATATATGTTATTTATTTATTTATCAATATATTTTTTCATATTATATTTTTATAAATTTATATAAAAACATGCATATGTATTAAAGATACTTGTATTTTTATTTTTTCTTTATTTAAATTAGTATATTTTATTTTTTAATAATTTATTAATTTTTAGAAAAACAAATCAGATCGAATCAAATATGAAGATCTAACTTACCAATAGGATTTGAATTCAAATCGAGGCCTATCGGACTGATCGAATCTGACATAAACTGTATTGGATTGATTATACCCTATTCGAATCGATCCGATCCGTTTGCATCCCTAACTGATTCTGACCGGCAACCAAGAGTTAGCCTCTTCGAACTTTCATGGGCTATCCGAGTAGGCCCACTGTGTAAGGCCAGAACAGCCCCCACAAGATTGCCCCCCACAATGTCCCACAGCACATTCCCGCTGTGTATTAGTAACATCTCCCGATGATAATATCCAGAATGACATTGGGAGATGTTCCCAATACACGACGGGGATGTGCTGTGAGACATTGTGGGGGGCTGATTCAGTCTGGCTGCGCTTCGGCCCGTCCAAATCCAACACGCCACTACAGCCGAAAGCCATATTTTTTGCCACAATACCCGTTTTTTTTTGAAGGCAATACCCGTTTTTTATGCTTGCCGAAACTCTCTCGCAACACATTGCAGTCTCCAGCCGAAATTCCTCCATCTCTCCCTCTCTCCCTCTCTCTCTCTGCGCGAGTGTTCAGATCTACTACAGTCCACAGAGAAAAGCGGCCATGGCGGCTCCAGACCATCTGTTTGGTCTCCGAAACAACTTCTACTTGGGAGCTTACCAGGCTGCCATTAATAACAGTGATATTCCCAATCTCCCTACAGATGACGCAGTCGAGAGAGATTGCCTCGTTTACAGATCTTACATTGCCCTCGGGAGTTATCAGGTTATCTCTCTGCTTTGTGCTGAAGACATTGAGATCTCTTCGGAATTCGTTGATTTTCGAGGTTGAATATATTAGTATTTCTCCATTTTCATGTTTTGCTCTGTCTTTGCAGCTCGTGATCAATGAAATTGACTCATCGGCTCCTACTCCTCTCCAGGCGGTCAAATTGCTTGCCTTATATTTATCTGGTGCTGATAACAAGGTTGATTCCTTCACTCGATCCACCTGATATTCAAAATCTAGGGATTCCGAGATGTCTTGGTGATTCGACTGGACCAGAGAAGATCTCGATTCTTAGATATTTGAATCGTAGATTCTCGTTTTCTGAATTTCTTCGTGACTGGAATTCAGATCCTTCTTTTCACTCATTTTTCTTTATTATAGTTACTGTTATTTATCGAATCTAGAGCTTCGGGGTTTGCAACTTTGATCCATATCTCTTTTTCATATTATGATGGACTAAGGCATTTAAAATGGAATACTAGATGGTTTATTTTGGTTACGAATTGTACAGGAATCTACAATTTCGAGTCTCCAAGAATTGTTAGGAGATGCTGCTATTGGAAGCAACCCTACACTACGGCTGATTGCGGGGATCATATACATGCACGAGCAGGACTTCAATGAGGCTCTGAAACATACCAACGCTGGAGGCACTATGGAACTGTTAGTCTTAACCTGCCTCTTATTACTGTGATTTTCCATCACGAGCAAAGTCTTTCATTGATAAGATTTCTGAATTGTTATAATGACACTAGAAGAAATTTGAACAGAGTAGGATTGAATTTTAGTTTGCTGCCATATTTTGAGTTGCTTTGTCCCTTAAAAATATTAGCTCATTCATTTGTTTGTTTATTTATTTTGCCCCTGGTGGTAGACACTTAGGCTATGTTTGGTTTGAAGGAAAATGTAGGGAAAGGAAAGGAAAGGTAGAGATACCTTTACAAATCTTTTATTGGTTTCCCTGTCTTTCCCTTCCTTTCCCTACCTTTTCCTTCAAACCAAACATAGCCTTAATGATTTTTGTTAGCAAGAAATGGTTTGTTGTGACTTGTGAGATACGTGAAATGAAAAACCTCTTGTTTTGCAGATGACATTATTTTGATTGATGAAGCTAATGAAGCATTAAGTGCAAAATTAATCTTATGGACTAAAACAGAGTATATGGCATGTGATTTTAGTAATAATAGGAGTGTAAATCAGGATACGTGAAATGAAAAACCCCTTGTTTTGCAGATGTCATTGTTTTGATTGATGAAACTAACGAAGCATTAAATGCATAATTAAGCTTATGGACTAAAACAGAGTATATAACACATGATTTTAGTAATAATAGGAGTGTAAATCAGGATACACTTAGGATTGGAGACCAAGAGATCACTCAGTGTGGCCATTTCCGGTACCTTGGTTCAATAATTCATAACAAGGGAGAGATTGAGGAGGATGGTACCCAAAGAATTAGAGTAGGATGGGCAAATGGAGGGGTGCATTTGAACTTTTATGTGATGGGTGAATACCACTTAGATTAAAAGAAAAATCTTATTAAATAGTGTAAGGCCAACTATGCTGTATGGAGTAGAGTGCTAGCCAGTCAAGAAACAACATGTCCAAAAAATGAATGTGGCAGAAATGCAAATGCTAGGATGAATAATGAGTGGAAAAAATGAGAAAGGATAGGATCAAGAATGAAGTCATCCGTAGGAACCTAGGAGTAGCTCCATTAGGTGATTAAATGAGAGAAAGTAGATTATGATGGTTTGGTCATGTGTATAGAAGACTGTCAACGGAACCAGTTAGAAGAAGTGATTTGTTACAAGTTAAAGGGGCTAGAATGGCTAGAGGTAGACCAAAAAGGACATGGGTAGAAGTAGTATGAAATGATTTAAGCACTAATAATTTAACAGTGGATGGCATTGAATGGAACGGGTTGGTGAAACAAGATTCATGTAGTCAACCCTATATAGTTGGGATAAGAAATGGATGATGAAAAAGTTATTCAAAATGGTAGATAAAATTGAGAATTTGATATGAGAATCGTTTTACCTTTAACATGAATGTGAATAATTGTAGGATTGATCTGATAAGAATATATGGAGCCAACAAGTGTGTCTATGCTATATTTGCAATGGCTAAAGATTATATCCTCATCCTTCCAATAGAAAAAAGGGCAAAGAGTTTTTAATGGATCGAGGAAAACAGGATTACAAAAGGCTTCAATTCCTACATTTATCCACGACCAAATAACCCTCCAAAATATACAAAAGAGCTGAAAATGAGCCTGGACAACTTGCACAAAGAACAACATTGCCATTTCCAAACAGTCAAATAGAGTTTGCTGGCAATTGGGCTAGCAGACATTGGAACCCATCTAAATGAAATGTTTAGATGCTAAGGTCTAGTTAGCTGGTTTAGTGGCTAATGTTACAGTTGGTTAGTAATTGGAGTTCTTAATTTGTCCATTTCTTTTATTATTTGCTTATGAACGTGAAAATTTTTATTTTGATACCATGGAAATTAGGATGTTCTCATTTGTTCTCAGTATTGTGCCCATTGCCTGGTACACTGGTAAAATCTGTCGCCAACAAGCATGAGATAGTAGGTTCAATCCTGAGATTGGTCACTTGGTGCAAAAAGTCCAGATGTTAGGTCCACATACAAATAACCCCTCACAAGAGCCTTGCTGAGATCAGCATTGGCTGATGGGTCATTGTCAACATTTTATATTTGCCATTCTTTCTCCACTGTTGGCATTTTTGAATATGCATGCCAAATTCTTCTTAAATTGAAATGTAACAATCCTAGTTTTGTCCAATTTTGCATTTAGACTGAAGCTTGGTGTTGTGCCATATTCTTTATCCATTTTTCCTTGTCACTTTTATGTCCATGTTTTCAAGGATTTTTTTATAAGCAACAATAATTTTTATTAAACAAGAGGAAACCCGGCTGCTCAAAGAAAAAACAAGAAGCAACCAGTACAAGTAAATAACCAAGCATGAAGAAGTTATAGATTACAGCCCGACCCTGGGCAGCCCTATTCCAGCTGATTTTAGACCACCCTTGATCTATGTAGAGAGTCATCTAGATCATTAGAACATCTAGGCTCCCAATTGAATGAGCTGTTCAAGAAGCAAGCCAAGGAATGTGCCTGTCTCACCAAAGGCCTGAACTTCCAAGGTACTCTGTCCTGCCTTCTCATCCAAAAAATAATGGTTTGACAATTCCCTTCTACTTCAACATTTCTTGTGTCTTTCAAGCATAACAATTTTTTCTTTTTGAAAGGTAAAGTAAGATTTTATTAATTCAGCTTGAACAAATTACAACAGGAGAGCTAGCCACTTAAGGACTAGACAGAGCACAAGGCCAAGTTACAGATCCGAAATGGACTTAGATCTAAACAACTCAGGCACATTCAGGTTCTTAAAGTCAGGAGTTACAGACACCCAGGAGATCAGCTTGCTAACCACCTGCTGCACTACCTCATCAGTGCTCTTTGTCTCGTTGCAAAAGACTCTCCTGTTCCTTTTTGACCAGATTACCCAAAGAACAGCTGCAGAAATTGTCTTTCATATTAATTTTCCTTTTTTCTTCAGGCCTGGAATCTCCCAACAGAACAGCAGGTCTTTGACTGAAATTGGCATGACCCAGCAAAGACCAATAGCCCTAAGAAAAATGATCCCATACTCTGGAGGAGATAGGGCAGTGGATACACAGGTGGTCTGTGGATTCAGGCAATAGACCACACAGACCACACAGCAGGGAAGAGAGATGAAGACCCCTCCTATCCAAGTTGATTTTAGAGAGGCATTTGTTCAGCACCATTGTCCACACAAGGAAGTTGGACTTAGAGAGAGAACTAGGGTTCCACACTTGATAACAGGGAAAGTCAACACCACCTGTTCTACTGAGCTTAGAAGTGAAGGATCTAACTGAGAAACAGCCATCCCTACTCCAGGTCCAGCTCCACTCATCTTCACTTTAGTGTCTATAATCTGATCCTGTAACAGATGCAACAGCTCCAACACCCTATCTATTTCCCAAACAAAAAGGTCTCTTCTGAACTGAGGGTTTCAGACCACTGTATTGTTGGAGAGAGTATATGAATCTGCCACTGAAACTTCTTGATTTGCTGCACATTGAAAAAGAAGGGGAAATGCCTCAGCTAAAGGTCTGTCCAAACACCAAGGGTCTTTCTAAAATTTCAGCCTGTCCCCTTTACCCACCTTAATTCTCACACCTTCATACATCAAAGGTAGACATTTGAGAATACCTTTCCAAACTGATCAACCCCAGTTTGAGAACGGATCCTGTGATTTCCAGTTTCCCCAATCCACCCCATTTTTAGAGGCAATTAAGATCCTCCGCCAAGAATTTCTTTCTGAAGCAAACCTCCAGCACCATTTGCTCAGTAGAGCAGAATTTACCACCTTCAACCTTCTTAGGCCTAGAACCCCCCTCTCTATGCAAACAGACTTGGTCCCATTTCACAAGATGCGTTTTCCTCTCTTCTTCCCATTTCCTCCAGAGAAAATTCCTCTGCATGTCTCAAGCTTTTTCACTACTTTGGCTGGAATGTGAAAGAGGGACAGGAAGTAAGTAGGGAGATTAGTCAGTGTACTTTTGATAAGGGTCACTCTACCTCCAATGGACAAATATTTAGCCTTCCAAGAGGCTAGTTTTTTCTCCACTCTCTCAATGACTGGATCCCAGATAGCAGAAGAAAAACACTTTGCCCTTTGGGGAAGGCCTAGATACTTCATAGGAAAGAAATCCACCTGGCAAGCCATCAACCTTGCACAGTTTTCTAGATTTGGAACAGGGCCCACTGGAATGATGTTGCTTTTGTGAAGGTTTACTTTAAGACCTGAAACCACTTCAAACCAGCACAGAATTCCAAGTAATAGCTCCAACTGATCAGTTGAGGCATCAAGGAAACAGAGGGTATCATCAGAAAACCACAACATAGACTTTTTCTGCTTCCGGGGCTATAGCAAAACCTTCCCAAAGCCCATTAGCCGCAGCCTTAAGGGAGAATTTGGACAGAAGTTCCATTAGGTAAATGAAGAGTAGAGGTGATAGAGGGTCACCCTGCCTTGTTGGAATAGGGTTAGAATCCATTAGATGGATGGCCGAACCATGCAAGATAGCTAGCCGAAATTTCAAAAATTTTTCTAACCTTCTCGGGAACCGATTTCCCGATAAATTGAAATCTGAAATTTCAGGATCATTCTTGCATTGAAACGGACCAAATTTGAAACCAAAGAGAAAAGAGATTATACCTGATACGGAGACCACAAATTGCAGCTCCCAAGGTGGGTAGTTCATGCCCAATATTAGTCCCAAAACCGTTCACCAATTGAAGATGGCGCAGTGTACAGAGAACCGATTCAGCAACACTTGTTTTCAATAAATCTGTTGTCCAACTTGTTTGGATTGAGTGGGGTGATTGAGCCTGAAATTCTTTTGAGTTTTTCTTGCAAAAACAAAAAAGAAAACTGATCAAAATCAGTTCTTGAAAGCCTAGGTCATTTTAGGGTTTCTTGGGAGACAAGAGAGAAAAGGGAGAATAAGAGAGAGAGAGGTGTCTAACTCGAATTCACACTCTTCTTCTTTTATCTCTTAATGGAGCACTCTCCTAATCTAATTAGGAGATTATCCAAATCTGAATT